AGAGAGACCTGCTGGCAGAGGTAGACCATGAGCAAAGAGGAAGGTCCTCAATGCAGTAGATTGATGTAGTAATTACCACAATGGTTGGAGAATGACTGTGAAGATGGTGCAAGATAGGACATGGTTCAGATCTGTTGTTCATGGGATCACAAAGAATCAGAGTTGACTTGATGTCACTAAACAGCAGCAACAATAACCACTAAGTGTTCTTGAGTCTTCTCACTTGCAGTGTGTGCTAAGCTGTCATTTCACTGATTCTGTGTGTGGTCTTTTGTGTTTCATTGGGTCTGGCATTGTAGAAGTCAAGATTGTAAGTATATTCTCTATTCTATAAATCAACATCCTTGGTACAAGCAGTCTGGAGATCAGAAGATATATTGCATCAGACAAGTCCACTGTCAGGGACCTCTCCAAATTACTGAGGAGTAGTGAGATCAGTTTGGAGATTAAGATGTGCCATATTTAGGTCATGGTCTTTTCAATCATTTGCTGTGCACCTGAACTCTGGACATTGAAGAAGGATCTTCTGTCTTAAATCTTCTTATAAAAGTAATATGAGTGTGTCTAAGAATATATTGATGGAAAATTAAAAGGCCAAAATAGCAAGTCTAAAGTCAGGAGATTTATGTCTTTGACATAAGGATGGTTGTTGGGAGCTGCCTTGGAGTTTGCTCAATTGAAGTCAATCATATATAAACAGATTGAAACAATGCCAATCCTTCCCCAATTCCATAATTTTTTACTACATTTGAACTCATTATAAAATATGTTATGACATTTAATATCTTTGAAGATTTTCCTCATTGTCAATTATAGTGAATATACTTTTGAAAAAAGTTTGTTAAAGAAGAGTACTCATTAAAATAAGGCTTTAGGATGATCACAAACATATCAATTCTCCTATCTGCTTATCCAGTCAATCTGTGTTCCAACTGTCTATGTATTCAATAACTACTCACACAAATAATGTATATTCTCTGTGTGTCAGTTAAAAGTATAGCACTAAAGGTGTATCTAACCTCTGTGTTTGTTATTTTTAGGCAAACGTAGTTGTTTGGGAGAGGGACTGGCCCGCATGGAGCTGTTTTTATTTCTGACCAACATTTTACAAAAATTTACCTTGAAACCTCTGGTTGACCCTAAGGACATTGATATCACCCCAGT